TTTCCCTTTCTTTTTTCTGCCTGATGTGCCCGTAATTCCACGGTTACGTATAACTGCGTGCCCCTTTCCTGCAATTTCTGAAGTAAAAATAGGGCTATGCTATTTTGCATTAACGTTGACAACTGTCTGGATTGTACGTTCGGCTTACATATTTATTAGTATTAATAAATTGTGTACTGTGTCAAAATACACTTTTTTCTGCACTTCGTTATTAATTTGGTATTTGTTGTGGGAAAATTCGTGTTTGTAATTGATGTCAAATTTTCTTTTGCTATAAAACACAATGTTTATTTTGTCTATAATAAATGTGTTTCTATATCATTAACATATTGCTAGTGATGTTATCTATAAGTACACACACGAGTTTGATAAAGTAGTTGGAGATACTGTACTTTATTTTATCACGTTATTCAAAATAACAAAGGAACACAACAAAACAATTGTACGTGCATATAAAACAAAATACAATGGTTAATTACACGCAGGTCAACCCGAACCTTGATATACTATGATATTAAATAGATTTTGAGATATAATTATATAAAATAATAATATTAAGTACGATAGGTTATTTCTGCTGCTGAGAGCCAAATAAGGCGATTTTGACTCATAGGGTTCGCGCCCTTCTTGCTCCCAGTACAGACAGATTTTTTAAATACAGGCATCACGTCTTATCATGGCAGATTCTAGTATGCTTTTTATATTTATTTTATATTTATAATTATCACAGGTAGAACCGCAAGCATGAAAGCAATATTGCGATAATTATGTAACTTTTTTATGGCTAAAGAGGGAGTGAGAGAGAGTGAGCTTTAAACAAAAAAGGGGGGGGGGGACAAAGCAAGTCAGGCAGAGAACATGAACAGAGAGGGAGAGAGAAATAGAGAGAGGAAAAAAATATACACGTTCAAGTATATCAGAGCGAGCGAGAGGGGGTGGCATAGGATATGAAGACAGACAGAGAGAAAATGGAGATAGAGAGAGAGAGAGAGAAATAATTATATTTTAATACAAAGCTTTTCTTCTCGATGACAAACCACCGGAACTGACATATTTTACATGTCTTTCATTATTTCAATATTCCAAAGAAATGTTAATTTTCATCGACTTCCTTTCCTTTGAATAGCATTTGCAAAGATATAGCATTAGAGCAACGACATCGCTAAAAATAGATACATTGTAATTCAACAATAATGTTATCACGTGCATACGCATTAACATATTGCGAACAAAATTGATCCATCGCTTCAAAAGATTACAATAGAGGCCCGAATTCACAAAGGAGGTTTGTCGACAAACCTAGGTTTATGTGCGTCATAATGACGCGCTTTGATGCATTTCAGACCAAGGTTTGTCAAAACGCGTCATATGACGCACATAAACCTAGGTTTGTCGACAAACCTCCTTTGTGATTTCGAGCCAGAGTGTCCGGGAGAGAGAGAGTGAGAGAGAGAGAAGGGGAGGGGGTCGCGATTTTTAAATTTTTAGGGAATGGGCATCTTCAAAATTCCGGTGGAATATCTTGACCACCATCGCAAACAGGTATTTTGTCATCCTTCATTTATTTTAAATAGTGTTATAGACTGAGCGGTGCATTAATATCACACCCTCTCAACTACTCTTATAATGTTTACCGATTTCACTGTAATCTTGAATAGAATCCTGTCTTCTTTATTGCGATCTGATTATTTTTTTTTGCTAATGGTAACTAATTCGTGAGATCGAGAGGGATCGAGAGTTTATGCAGACAATAATTACAGAACAGGTACAAAGTCTTTTTTATTGAGAAAAAAGAAATTTCACTGACGATATGATTGGGGTGCAACTAAATTGCACGTGTGTGAGAACAATAACATTATTGTTGAATTATCTTTTTTTAGGGATGTCGATTCTCTCATGCTATCTCTTAATTTTTCAAATGCTATTCATTAAAATGGATCGAAGTGAATGAATATTTACCTGCGTTTACAATTTGTAGGAAATTTTTTTTTTCCTTCTACATAATATTACGTCATTGTTACGTCAGCGATGTTCATTTTCATTTCAATCCTAAGGTGTGGGCCTTTATTGCTTGGTATGTTATTCATGTATGCTCAAGTATTTAATGCGAGGTCACGTCGCGTTGCTCCGAAACGATGGTTGTTCAGGAAGATATACTAACACTAATTTTAGCCATTTAAAAGCAGCATATTTGGTTGATTGTGGCCTCTCCTGCGATGGAGAAGTTGACCAAACTGAGGTGAAACAATTTTCCCTTTCCTTTTTCTGCCTGATATATGATTTTATTTTATTTTATTTCAGCATTTTTCCAAATATAATATAACTGAATAACAAAGAACATATTAATGTAAGGTATAATACAACATATACAAATAATAATTTCTTCATGTCAAAATGTTTTTTACATGATATATGTACATAATGACGAAACTTAATATCTCCATAACATAATATCATAATACCACGGTTTCGTATAACTGCGTGCCCTTTTCCTGCAATCTCTGAACTAAAAATAGGGCTATGCTTTTTCGGCCAGGGCGGGATGAATCCATGGTTACTAAAGAGGATGGGGCATAGTAAAGAGATAGATTTCTATCAAACTTCAAGCAACAAAAAAATATATAAAAATATCCAAATTACAAAACAAAAATAATACAACGTTACCTGCTTCCACATAATAATTATGGAGAAAAAGAAACATACATATTAATCAAAAGAAAATGACATACGAGAATAATCGAAGTACATAATAATGGTAATATATTATATGAGGGTACACGTCAGGGGCGGCGGAGCGACTTCCAAAGTGGGGGACACCAACAAAAAAGGGCACCTACAAAGGGAAATCTCAAAGCGAATTTTTTTTTTTAGACATTGGTAAATATCCCTACACTCTGATTCATCATTACATTATCAGGGATGATTTCAATATTTGTTTCTCTTTATTCACCGTACAAGATAAATTACTGAAGCTTCATACTTTGCAGTTGGGTTCGATGGACTGAAAATTCATTTGCGAGCGAGTGAACCAAGCGAGGACAATTTTTAAGATTTGTGAGGTTGCATTGCGAAAAAAATACATCTTCAAAGGAATGAATCGAGTCCTGATGGGTTATAAGCACATTCTCACTTTTAAGAAGGAAAAGAGCCTTTATTAGAAAACAAAAAGGGCTCGTGTCAGAATGAAGGGTGCGGAAAATGGACATTCATCAAAGATGGAAAGAGCACTTATCAGGAGGGGAAGGGGAACTTGTCAAAGTAAAACGAGTACTAGTATCTCTCAGATTTGAATAGGGGCAATAATCGGAGGTGAGGGGGCTCTTATCTGAATTTAAAATGGGCAACTTTTCTAACCCGAGAAGGATCATTTACCAAAGATAAAAATGACATTCATGAGAAGGGGAAGGGGCTTTTTTTTATTGGGGGCACTTATCATTACGAAAAGGGGCACATGTTAGAATATAAGGTGCGCTTTAATATGAGAGTTAAAAATGGGGTAGTTATTAACAGGGGAAGGGGCAGTACTTCTTACAAAGAAAAAGGGACACTTTTTAAAAGTGAAAATGGGCACTTACTATATTAAAAAGGGAACTTATGAGAATGGAAAATGGACACTTATTGCAAAGGAAAATGGAAATTTGTCCGAGGAAAAGGCGCACGTTTCAAAATAAAAGGGGCATTTATCAGACGTGAAAAGGGGAAGGGACACTTTAACAAAGTAACAGGGGCACTTTTCCTCTATATGAAGGGGCACTTTTCCTAAGTAAAAAGGGGAAATTTTGGGGTACCTCCCCCCTGCCCCCACCCCACCCCCCTAGCCGGAGGGCCGCCTCTGGTGCACGTACATAATCAATTGGTGTTAAAATTTGTAGATTTAGCCTACTATCACCTACCAAAAGCAAGAACCGTATTTTCCAACAGAATCTTTTCTTTCACTGGCCCAAAATATGGGAATGCCCTTCCCGGCACATTAAAAGAAAAAGTGGTTTCAAAAATGCCCTCAAGCACTTTTTGTTGCGGACGTTTCAGAATAAGTAGTTCTCCGTTTTGTTTTCTTTTCCGTATTTGGCCAAACTGGCCATCATGATTTTTATCACATCGAAATTATGACTCGTATATGATTTGTTTCCATATAATACTAATTAAAAATGATTCCTCTATGACAACCCTTTCTTTCTCTCTCCCTCTCTGTCTCTTTCTTCCTCTCTCTATCTCTCTCTCTCTCTCTCTCTCTGTTCCCCTCCCTCCTTCCCCCTCTCTCTTTTTACCCATTTCTCTTTCCACCCTCTACCTCCTTTCTCTCTCTGTCTTCTTCTTCTCTCTCTGCTGTTTTCCCCCTTTTCTGTTTGACACTCACTCATTCTTATTTTATTTATGTATCATCATCATCTTGTCATCCTGCTACTGTTTCTTATTTGTTTTTATTTCCTTTTTTAAATTTTGTTGTCGTCTGTCATGTTTTTTTATTCCGTAATTTAGTTTCAAAATTTAGTTATGAATGTATAATTATATGAAAGTTTAATTATAATTATATTATTGTCAATTAACCTACACATTACAAGCATTGCTTTCAAGTAGGTTCGTCTTTTTATTTCCTGTAGCCTAAGCTAGGCTGTAGTCATAACATTTTGCAAATACAAGACTAAAAAACAATAAAGATATTTTCAATGCTAATGTTATATCATTACGTTTATTATTGTCTGTCATTGTTAATATTATATGTGGAAAAAAAATAATCTAAATTCGCTCTGTGTATATGTATAGAGCGACTACTCTACTACTATGCTTTTCAGAAAGAGCAACGCTTCCTCACTAAATGGAAAATTCCTGTTATGTTGTGATCAATATTTTCCATTCCACTCGTGGAAAGATGGATAAAGAACCGTTCGTGATCACACGATTCCCTAGATACGCCTCAGCCGCGAGGAACGTGATTACGTAATATGAATAGGTAGGCTAGCTAGGCAAGCTAATTATAGCTATACGGTCATCATAATAGCAGACGTAGAGTACATGCACTGCACTGTACACTTGGAAGTGGGTGATCGGGATATAAACTTGACACGTTTTTGGAAGGAACTTTATTATCGAATCTGAACCGATTGAACAGGTAGGTGTGGAAGGAGAACAGAATAAATATATTCTACGATATGTTCGTGAGCGTATATTTGTGTTGAAATAGTCTGCCTTTCCTGTTTTTGATCAAATAATCTGATTTTTTACCGGCTTCCATCGTGCTTTGCATTTCAAGTATTACTACGACTACGAGGTACCAGTATCATGTCAACAGGAACGCTTGCCCGTCGCGGTGGCGGCTTGCGGGCTGCTGGCGCTGGCCGGCCAACTAGTGGGTGTTGTGTTTACAATATTATATGCAAGGGCATTTTGTGATCCGAACTCTCACTCATCGCATATTCTTGTATCGCACGAAAACAAAGCCATACAATATTATTATTATTATCTACCGATATATTATTCTGACTATAGACTCTATAGTGAAATAACAAAATTTGACTTACCTCAGCAGTAAATATGGCTTTGTTTTTTGTATGATATCGATATCAAAATTTGAAGTTCCGGCCCGAGCAATACAAAAACAATTTTGATCTGTCATCCGGGTACTGGGCTTAAGATATTGAATACCGGTACGCTGATTTATTGTACCACTTGGAAGCCTCACATGTATAGATAATAATGTTTGATATTTTATTTATGTTTAACATAGCCAAGGTTTTATCTTTCCTCAGTATTTATCGTTGTATTATGTTTGTATTGTTGTTTGTTGTATTCTGTATTATTTGTATTATTATGCTATGTTTGTATTCTTTATTATGTACCATTATCATGACATGTACATGTGATCATGTATTATGTGTTGTACTCTCAGAAGGGGATCGCAAGAGTCAATAAACTCTATTCTATTCTATATGTAATAATATTACCAATGGCTAATACTCGTAGTAATAGTAATAATAATAATAATAATAATAATAATAGCTAGACATACAATGCCAGTTAGACTACGTCACAAACCTAAATTCTCATTGTTACTGACAGACCATTGGAATTGACTTCTCAGCCAACAGAATAGATCTACATGTACATTACAATGTAAATCTGGCATTGTCTCAAATTTGAATTTAGTCTTTTTTTGGAGCTGGGCCAATTATAGCAATGAACTCCAGTTGAAGGAAAAGTTCTTTCATTTGTGAATGAATCAACTATATGCCTCTCTATGTCTGAAAAATGACAATTTGATAATTTATTACCATAATTTGGAATTGTTTTAGGTCAGGGACATGTAGATTGTATGACATATTTCACAATGCAAATGATTTATTGTAACTATCCAGTACAATATAGTATTGCATCGGTGAATATCAAATTTATTTGGAACTCTCCATTTTATAGTATGGTACTCAAAGTTTTATAACACTTTGCAAGTAAAGGTCTGACATAGTCATTCAGACTTCCTTTATCTGTTGGGTAGGTTGACATATAATTGTTTTATTCTTTTAACTTTAAAACTCTTTACTAAAATGTTTGAAGCATATGGTAATATACATGGGCGTAAATCATTACGTAATACCTATTGTTCAGGGGGGGGGGATGATCTATTCATTCATCCCCCTGAACAATAGGTATTATGTAAGGATTGACGCCCATGGTAATATATCTTGCTACTTTTTAAAACATTTTTTTCTTCATTACATTTGTACCATGTCCTGATCATGACAGTTAAATTTTGAAGAAAGTGAAGCAAGAATCTTCAACTGTGAACTTAGTGAAGGAGGTAGACTTAACCCAAATAAGAAGAAGAAGAAAGTAATTCAGAATTGTTTATTATGCAGCTGGTGGGTTGTACATGTATAATTTATTTTCTCCAATATTTCTCTACCTTTCTGTCTGTCTCGGCAGTTCCCATTGGTCTAGAGACAAAGAGAAGAACTAATATTCACAGCTAGTCGCCGAATTCCACCCTCATCATGAGCAAGTTTGGGAACCAGTTATACTGGCTCCTATATCGCAATTTTCTCTTCAAGCTGCGATTTAAACAGCTTACGTTTCAGGTAAGTTAATTAGTTGAAAAACTTTAAAAAATGTTGGTGGTTCTGTTTGGGAAAAACATGATATTTTGATAGCATTTTTTGATCTGCTGACTGCACAATAATTAATTGAAAGATTGTTTTGCTGGCGGTTGTAGTACTTTGTACCTGTATCATAGAAATCTTAGTATAAGAATAAAATTGTTGTATTGAATGATTTTTATACTTTTTAGTAAATTACATAAAGGTTAGTAAGTTTTGTATCATAAAGGACTTAAAATGTCCTGACACATTCCTAAATTTCTAATTTTCCATTTATTTAACAAATAACTAATTCAGTGAGCTCATTTTGATTGCGGTACCTGTATAGTATTAGCGAATAGAAACCAAATTTTGTGTATCTCAGATTGCTCTTGATCAACCAAATATTTAACAAATTATGAACAACGGAGTGTAGAAATTGTACCCTGATCCATTTTTTATCTTTCTCTGAACAGGAGATCTTCATTTCCCTCATTTTTGTTGCCAATTTGGCCACCCTGCGCTACACCACTCAAACGGATCCTCTACCCGCTATCCCCTCTTCCTCCCTGAAATCGCATGACCTCTTTGATCCGCGCTTCGCACCGTCCTCCCTCGAATTTCCCATCGCCTTCACTCCCGATACGGCAGAAGCAGAGAGCGTTGTTTCTGGCCTGGCGTCGCTGCTGAATGTGTCTGCCTCGCCGGGCTATGTCGGGTATGCGACGGAGGACGAGATCTTGAACGATGTGGTCAACGGAACAGCTAACATAAGCATGGCTTTGGTCTTTGATGACGCCTTCCCGTCCAATTTGTCCTACAAGATTAGGCTGACCTACGGAGCAGTGACTCTGAATGATGGTCCATATTTGGGTAGTGGTATGTTGAATTATTTTATTCCTGTATATTTCAATAAAAAGTTTTGTTGAGTAATTTTAGATCATTGTGCTGCTCGTGATCTCTTCCAAAGCTGTTGGGAATGAAAAAGATTTATTTACATATACACCTGTATGTTTATAGTATTGAATTTACTATATGCTTGTTTGGAAAAATGTTGTGTTCAAGAGGTAATTGCAGTTTAATATGATTAATATATGATTGTTTCTATTCATATAATTGATTATTGTAGGTTCTTGAACATAATTTCAAATCAATCAAGAACATAGAAAAACAACTACTACTACGGTAGTAAATGCTAGTAGAGCTTTTTTTTTTCTCTCTCTCTCTCTCTCCTTTTTATGACATACATGTACATGTACTTCAATTTGTCTCTTTTTCCATTTCATTATCTGTCCGTCTGTTTCCAGGATCTCCAAACTGTTATTCTGCGGATCCTGAGTACGGTCTGACATATCCCTATCAGTGTCCGGCAAACTCCTATCTTTACTCTGGCTTCTCCGCCATACAAGCCATGGTAGAACATCTGATTGTGAAGGTGAGTTATTATTATGATTCCTTGGTCAGAGGATGTTTGTGAAGAGGATGTTGATGAAGATGAATACATTAACGATGATGGGGATGATGATGATATGATGATGATGATGATGATGATGATGGTTATGGTTATAATGATGATGAATGCAATGATGACGATGATGATGATGATGACAACGATGAAGATGAGGATGAATACAATGATGATGGTTTAATGATGATGATGATGAGGAGGAGGAGGCAGATGATGATGATGTTGATGGCATTGATGAAAATGAGAATCTTGTTCCCTGCAAACTTATATCCTCTTAACTTTTCTGCTACTAAGTCTAAAGCCTGAATGGAACATCTCATGGTCAGGGTTTAGCGTGATAATGAATGATTAGAATAAGGCCTAAAATAAGAACTTGTTGTATTGCCCTTTGTGACGACCCAAAAATCTGAAAATCTACAGTCGGCATTTAAAATTTTTAAAAAAATTAATGAATAAAATAACATGTATTTTGTTTGTTTAAATGGGATATAAATGCATAAAATCAAATAATTCCAAAATTCTCACTCGTGCAAACCATGGATACTTATGAGATGAAAAAGATATCAATTGAATGCTGACGATGTATTAAAGCACTAAAAAAACTGAGAAATATCAGCCAAAAGAGGGCGGGGAAAAAAAACAAAAAAAAACAACAATAACATTCAAATCTGAAAAATATCGGCCCAAAGAGGGCGACGAAAAAAAAGTTTAAAAAAAAAAAAAACTTTTCTGACACCCAAAGTCAATACAACAGGTTTTTATTTAGGCGTACCGGTAATTGATGGTGGTAAAACAGCACTGATGATGATGTGTTTATGTTGATGTTGTTTATGTTGATGTTGTAATATGATGTTGATCATAAGGATTATGATGGCAAAGATGATGATGATGATGATACAATGTAATTATAAGGATGATGATGGCGATGGTAGTGATGATTGAACAAAATTCTCACCCATTCAAGAACTGAATTTGGTTAATGTGAGTGAAATTAGAAGATTGGATGAAGATGAGGAGGAGGAGATGGTTGATGGTGATGATGATTACGATTATGATTATGCTGACAACATTGATGATAAGAAAGATGTTCTATTCATGCGATTGCATTGTGAAAGAAACGTTGTGGAATCGATCAGAAAAGGTTGATCATCTAGCATATAAGTATTGGTGTGTACTGCAAGGTTCTGGAATCATTAAAATGATAAGAAATTTGGCCCAGTCTTGGTAAAGTTACTGTACACAGAAAGATGTGACACATGTGCGATATCTATCCGGTCCGGATAGATATAATCATTTACCAAATATATCAATTAGTAGCCGGTATCCCGGCAAAATTTTGTATCATCACGTATTAGTCAAAACATATTCTTTCACATGATTGGTAATAAGAGCTTCCATTTCACTTTTTGAGAGGGGGGCGTTTCCAAAACTGGTCTTTACCTTTAAGGCTGATTTATTCAAGAATCTACTATGCCTACTTGTTGTTATTCAAGTTCCCTTTCAGAGGTAAATATGTTTGAATACATTTTCATATGCATTCATTTTATTATTGGACATGCCATTAAAAAAAAATTGTGTGCACTAGACTATCCATTTATTGCTTTTATCATGGCATACTGTACAGCAGTTTTCAGCAACCAGAGTCTGAACTTAAAGACTAACCTCACAATGCAGATCATGTCTATAAATATACATGTACCTAAACACTGGGAAGCCTTATTATGTAATGTTACATAGTGGGATGTTTAGATGGTTCTTGGGTGTTATCTACCTTATGACGTTTCTAGCATTATGAAAATGCTCTCAAATCTCAATGTAGGCCTGGCTGTAGAACCACTTAGGTAATATTTTTTAGTTCTATCTGTAAAAGCGCTCACTATAAAAACTACACTTATTACATACACAGGAAAGGCTGTGAGAGGAATCATAATAAATGTAAAAGAGAAAAAAAGAGAAACACAACTGGTGCACACTGTACGCAACATTAATTGTTTTAGGTCATGGGTCAATCACCTTTGATCGGTTGCTATTAACCACTTTAAGATTGCCATTAAGCTCATTTGGCCTGCAATTAAATCTGGAATTATGGACTTTACCCAGCAATAAATGAAGAATTGTCATAAAAACATTAAGTCTTTAAACAGATTATCTTAATGTACTTGCACATGTACATTACACAGAAATGGTGCTACATGTAGATTGTCGTACCAATAGGCCATTTTCGTGTTGTTAGGTAGGGCAAGCCAAAATGTTTGTCATACCTAGCAACGATTTACAAATACTCAACTTATTACTGCATCATGCAATTCGCATTCTTACTATTTAGATACAATCATTTGTAACAAGTGACTGAAATCATTTGTATCTAGGCACTTCACAAAGACGTATGCATTACATTTGATTACATTATGAAAATAGACCATTGAAAGAGATAAATCAGTTTGGGGCCTATTGCTTGCTGTGGCTTCACATGCCTAATGTACATACATGTGGAGCTAACCTGGGCCCCATTTCATAAAACTTGTTATCAATAACGAATGCTAAATTTCCATGAAAAATTTGCTATTAGTCAATCAAATGCAACAATTTCAGTAGCTTACAGTTAAAGCCCCTGTAAAGGACTTAGGAGCCCCAATTTCGCCAAAAAATTTGATGGCAAAATTTCATATGAAGCTTAATGGAAAATGGATCAAAACAAATACTGTCATAGTAATTATTGATTAAAATAATATCTAAATCAAAGACATGGCTTTAATCAAACTAGGGCTGCTTGAATGAAGTGGGGTAAGAATGCTCGGAACTTAAAAAAAGGTGTAGTGTTTACTCTGTACAAATAATGCTATCTGCGTCACTTGCATGTGAGGAAATAAAAACAACATGTACAATTATGTATCTATTTGAATTTGCATGCTTCAGCACATGTGTTCAATACAGTTGAACTTAAAATGTTGTGGCCTGTATATTTGCATACTGTCTTCTCACAATAATATTGTCTGTTTATGGGGCCAGAAGGGCATTAACTCTAAGTAAAATGTAAAATGTATGAGTAAAACAGCCTTTTGGCTCCAAAAAGACAATTGTCCTTGTATAGAAATTTGACAAGAGACAATTGTAACAGTAACTATCAAACCTTACATTGTGCTGAAGCAAACAAGTAAATTGTGTACAATGATTTCATTGATTGTTATCTCTGCCTTGAAATTATTTAATAGCAAGCACACTGAATATCCAGCCAATTATGTGTCATTGATACCTACAAGGTTTAAGTTGAAATTGAAAGAAAAAACTAATAATTGCCAAATTTAGAACAGCAATCAAGATTGTTCATATCTGCTATTTGCAACCATGATATTTTGATGCAATTCATTTTAAGATCTTTTATGAGGAGTTTTCTGACATCTACAAAGCACATTGTTTGCAGTGTATCAACATTGTTTGCACTGTATTTGAACCCAATACCCTGTGTTTCTTACTTTGATAAAATATCCTTGATAACACCTCTTATTCATATACATGTATACTATCTATCGGACTGACATCTGTGCTTTGTTATGAAAATAATAGTATTGATCTAGCAGTATTCCCTCAGTTATGCCAAAGTGACTGTACGGTTAATATCTTCTTCAACGTCATGAATTCCGCTCGTTGAATTTTCAAGTATTTATTTAAAGGCTTTGGAGAGTTAAAAGCACACAGAAACCACACAGATTGTATAACAATAGAAATTCAAAGGTTTAAGCCTTCGTTCAATTCTGGAGAGAACAAACATTCTGGCAGTGTACATCTATGCCCACAAGTATGATACTCTATGAAGTGAAGGAAAATAGTAAACAATTATGATAGAAAAGCTGAGTTCTACTTGTAGACCATGTAACAAAAGAAAGACAAAGGATTCAAGTCAGTAGGCTGAAGGAAAATAGTTCAAAATACCTGTCCTACAATGTATGTGCGTATGCACATTGGTACTGTTCAACGTGGTCTTTTCTGCAAGTTTGTTCACTCATAGCGGTCCAAATTGTCCATTTATTGCATGTTAAACATCCCAGAATCACCTTTCAACAATCTCCTCCAAAACATTACAGTGTGCATGTAGTAGTGTTAAAAGTCTGGCTATCAATTGAAAAGTTCTCGAAATACATTTCCCTAATTTTCTGACACTAGAATAAATATGGTACACATAGGAGAGTAACAAACAGTTCATACATGTAGCTTAAAGGTAAAGACCAGTATTGGAAACGCCCCAATTTCAAAAAATGAAATGGAAGCTCTCATTACCAATCATGTGAAAGAATATGTTTTGACTAATACATGATGATACAAAATTTGCCGTGAAACCGCCTACTAATTCATATATTTGGTAAATTTGTTTCTCTCATGGACTGTGAGAGATATAGGGTAGTCCCATATACATCTTTCTGTGTATAGTGCTTGTAACTTTACGAAGAATGGGCCAAATTTATTATCATTTTGATGATTCCAGAACCTTGCAGATGCTAGATGCTAGATGATCAACCTTTTCTGATCGATTTCACAATGTTTCTTTCACAATGCAATCGCATGACCATAACTGGTCTTTACCTTTAAGGTCATCCAAGATCTGAATTGTATAGAGTTATCCATCACCAATCATTTGTATGTGTTATCAGCAAGATATCTGTTACCTAATGAACAAGGTATTTCAAATATGTCTACACCTGTACATGTAAATAGTTTCAAGCTACCGGTATTGTTTTTCTACACTGCATGTACACACATTTTTCATTTCAAATGCCATGAACAGTTTTAGAAAGGAATATATGTGCATCCATAGATACCGTATTCAGCGTATTGTGAAAAAAATAATAGATAGATATTAATAGCTTTATATATAAATACGATTTCTTGCTTTTCATAAAGTAGAAGTAATAAGCTTTTACATGATACATGGATGGCTATGAATAATATAAAAGCTTACATTTCCTTAATGTTACATGTATGTTAGCATTAACTGCATGAGATATTAATGTTTCACTGCATGAGATATTAATGTAATTCACTGTGTTC